GCAATTTCGACATTCGCGTCGAAATCGCGAATGTCAAAATCGCGATCGAATTTTTTTCGGGCTGCCCGAAAATTTTTTCGACGAGCGTCCTGCGTCTGGACGCGCGTCCTGCGTCCTAGCGCCGAAAATAGCTCAGCGGACAAGCGAGTCCGCCCGGGGGAGCTCGCTGCCCGCGGGCAAAAAAAATAAACCCCAGACGGGCATGCATCCGGTCAGGGAGCCTCAACCCTAAACGCGGGGAGGCATGGTGTTTAGGGTTGAGGCTCCCTCGGATGGCATGCCATCCGATGGGGGTTTAGTTTTTTTGCTGCCCGGGGCAGCAGGTCGACAGGTCGACACAGGTCGACAGGCTTGTCGACCTGATTCCGCTGAGCTCTTCCGTCCGGACGCTGCGTCCGGACGCAGGACGCAGCGTCCTAGCTGCGTCTTTTCGAACATAGAATGGCACACCCAAGAGACCTCATACCAGCTGAACCTGCCTATACAAATACCTGAGCCTGTACCTGCTACCTTGCTACCTTGGGGGAGGGAGGTCTCTTGAGTGTGACAGAGGGCAGTGAGGGAGGGAGTTTGATGCATGATGCAAGCGAGGAGAGTGAGGTGAGGACTTAGCTTGGGGTGGTAGACGCAGAGAGCGCTGTGTGTGTTTCAGGCACCCACCAGCGTGGCACTCGTCCAGGGGGGTGGGAACGGCATGGCGCGCGGCGGCCTGCAGAGGGTGGAAAGACGCGGCCACAGCGTGCGTCAGGGAAGCATCTCGCGAAATGGACTGTGCTACGAAATTGATATGCGAAACCAGATCGCGGAATTGAAATTCGGAATCTAATCGAAACACGAAACTGAAACGCGAAAGCGATCGGTGAATACGTTCCTAACGAGTGAAACGCAAAACGGTAAAGCGAAATTAAGAAGTGAGACATACGGAAACGATTTGCGCATTGGGCTCTCTGCATGGGTGTGGCTTCCAGAAATACCTGAGTCAAACGGTCGCACGACCTCGCTGAAATCGCACGACCTCGCCGAAATCGCACGTGCTCGTCGAAATTGCACGTACTCGCCGAAATCGCATGTACTCAGCCGAAATCGCACGGACAGCCAGATAGCGATGGTGGTTCTCGTGACATGTCGCCTCCTCACGGACAAACCTGCAACATGCAGTCGTCACGTCAGACTCGCCACTGAACAATCTCGCGTGTGCTAAAACGAAACCATAATACACTACTACTAAATATGACTCGGATACGTGAAAAACTAGCACACGCACTCAAATTTACCTCATATAGAAAATCGTCATCCCGCACTTGTCCTTCCATGGTCATCGCTTAAATCGCCAGCGTTTCGACGCTTCATGACGCCAACACTCGGTTTTCTCTTCCCGCAAACGCAGCTTCTACGATAAGGCGGACCTGAAGCATAACGCCTCCATTATTTATTCGGAATAAGCTATGTTAGTGACTCATCGTTTCGCAGTCGCAGCAGCTCTAAGAAGCTCAAAGAAAACGAGCAGAAGTAGCTGAACGTGAGAAAATGAGAGCAAGAGGCCAAAGCGCTGTGAAATCCGAGGCTCAGGCGAGAATGAGGCGAGCGACGACGGTCACGCTGGAATGAGGCGGAGGGGTCACCAACTGCCTCTCCTCTCCTTTCCTCACAACAACACTCTTCAGATCTACCGTTTAGAATCACTGATTTGTCTGAAACGTGCTGCTATCTCGGATCGCAGCCGTCGGTTCGGACCTTTTCCCGTGTTTCGTCACGGCAACCCTAGCCATTTCCTCATTGGCAACCCGGCTGCGATGGGTCGCAACGAACAGCGACGATGGATGCGAATGGTTCGTTCGGTCAGGCTCATCTTTTGTCATGACAGCGAGATACGAGATTCCACTTCAGCGGCTGGTTGAAAATCGTCCGCGTGGCACATGAATTCCCTGACGGTCAGGGAAGCGAAAAAATATTGCCAAGTTTACGCTGTTTGCTTGTCCCCTCCTTTCACCTCAGCGGTACGCGAGACAAACTACACCGACGTTTTCCAGCGAGATTCCGTTGACAAAGGCGGGAGCTGCGGGATTTCGCTAGTGAACGTTGGACTCCGTAATCTAGGAACCGTCGATTGTCGTCTCATCTGGAGCCGCAGAGTCATCGTGTCAGTTTGGAACGCGGCAAGCCCAATGGCTTGAATTTGAAGCCGTGGTTCCAGCCGCTAGGAGCGAAGTAAATCCTAGCCGTGGATACAGATTCTAGGCAAGCGGCTGCGATTAAGATCTGGGATGACATCGTGCATTGATCTGATCCTGGGAAAAAATGGGCGAAGTTGGCGAAAGGTCTGTGCTTCCCAGCTATTCTGTTACTTGTCGGTGATTCGGCAGAGGAACTGATCTTCCTGACACCACTGGTCTGAGAAGAGAAGTCCGAAAGCCAATAAAGGGTACAATAAAGGCAATAAGCAAACATGATGCGCCATCTACTTTCCCAACTTTATTTGCTATGCGACATTATTCGCATCCCTTCAAAGCAGCATGCGTTGATGTGACTAAATAATACTACTTGGTAGTGGGTACATACGCCCCATCCCATAGTCTTATAAGTCTTATACGGTAAGTCTACTATGGTAGTCAAGTCAGTGCATTAACCAGCCTGGTGGTGAGTGTATGTAGGCATGGTTTCCGGGACAGCCAGATGCCAGTGAACAAGCTCTGCAGCGGAATTGGCTGGCAATAGCACCGTTTGCAACATACATAGCTCTTGAAGGACAAAGAAACAAATATCTTCCAATTCACTGAAGAGTTTTTTTTATATATCAGTCTTGGCGCACTTTGAACGGTGGCAGGTATGACGTGACGATCGCAAAGACCATGAACAATACCCACTGTAATAAGAACAACCCACAAACACCAGAGCACCAGGGAAAGCACAGAGTGGATTTGCTCAGTGCAGCCAGCACAGCAGAGAAAAAGTCATGGCAATATGGTACGCAGAAAGCAAGGAAGGATATTCAATCCGAAGGGGCCGGACAAAAAAACTGGCAAACTGGTAACAATGGATTGGCAAACTGGTTCGGGAAAAGCACAGAGCAGATGGCGTGAAGAGTGGGAGGGGAAGGCGTGCTAGGAATAGAATTGGCACTGACTGCAGGCTTACAAGAATGGGCAGGGTGAGAATGCCCCAGACGGGCCAGAAGGCAATGGAGCACCTGCATCAAGGCAAGATGGAATGCAACAAGGCAAGTTGGAATGCAACAAGGTGAGATCAACGCAACAAGGCAAGGCACAAAAGACTCAAACCGCTGTTCTCAACCCTCACACTTGAGCACTGGCATGGCATGCTATCAGTGAGAGTTCTTTCCCCTTTCTGCAACACCCCTTCTGCCCTGCATGCCATGCCCCCTCCGTGCTCATCCCATGGGCCCTCACCACCAACACGACTTGGAAAACTCTCCATTAACGGTTCCTGAGAATCAGAAGCTAAAACGCAGCAAAGCAGAGCACTTACAGGATGTAAGCCGCGAGTCCCACAGCTGTGGCCGCAGCCACGGCGCCTGGCGCGGACTGGTGGTAGGAGCGCGTGTCGCGGCGGAAGAGGCGCAGGAAGACCGCGGCGTAGAGGTAGATGCCGATGTTCACCGCCGCGCATGCTGCTGCTGCCTGTAGCGGCCGCCTGTCTGCCGAGGAGCGGGGTTTGTGACACAAGCGAGGGTTGATTCACGTCCGATGAGGTGGCAGGGGAAGGGAGGTTCAGGAGGGAGGAGGGTGAAACGGTCGCGGTACGAAAAGGACGAGACTTGACGAAGAAGTGAAGGCATGGCACGAGCAGTCCTGGAGAGATTGCTAGTGAGATGTTGCCAGACCATGTGATTCGCGGCCGATCAGAGATTGCAAAACAGACCGCACTATGTGCTGCTGACCATCGAACCTATAACTGCGTGATTGACCACACGGGACTGAATGATAATCAGCTGCGTGATGCAGGATCGGCCATAAAGGTTGACAGACCATTGGATGCGCGGGTCGCGGAAGAGGACATCTAAAAAGTGCACGGAGCCATCGCCGAGGTACAGAACCAAGCAGCCCAGCAGCAGGTAAATCGCGTTTTCCACCCACGATCGCTTCCTCCCCTTGAACTGCCGCCGCGGCTGCTGCTGCGAGTGTTGCTCGTGCGACGTCGGGAAGGCGTTTTGCGACTGCTGGCCGTCTATTTCTATCGCCTGAGACTGCCGGTTGCCGTCGCCGGTAGCGCTGTAAGGTGTAGCGCGCTGAGTCGCAGAGGAAGCCATAGTGGAACGAAAGCACTAGCTGTTCCAGCGGATTCAAGCTAATCGGTAAGTTGGGAAGCGGCGTGAATCCCAGAAGGCTACAGGCTTGTTTTCTGCGGACTTGAGCCAAAACGAGCTCCACAATATCCTTGTTAATCTGTGCTTCGGTAAGAGGTAACGCACATATTAAGAACTACAAAGTATTCTGTAATTCAACTACAGAACTCAACCCTGTTGGATTTCAGAAATATCAACGGCAATCGCGAAACACTGCCGGCAATAGCAATTGGGAGATCCCCAAAGCAGCACCCTCGATTGTGTCAGGCCCACCTCGTGCGCGCGATTCCTGCAAACTTCTGGATCCTCCCATCCAGCCTCATCCAATTCCGCCCTACTTTAACGCGCTGTAACCCATCTCGCCCCTCTTCATCTCTCTAAGGCCCTTCACTTCCACTTCCGCGTTCCCCCCTCTTCCCCTTCCCCCCCTCCCTAGCTCCTCTCACCTCTGCCCATTTCTTCCCCTCCCCACTCCCTCATCTTGCTTGCTCTAGCATTCCCAATCCTCCGTGCTTTACGGTGCTTCACGGACGGAATCTCAGCACTGTGAGTCCGCCGTCTGTGCGACCGGCACATCCGATCTGGAGATCTGTCGCTCGCAGTAGCATCTGTCGCACGAACTTCTTTGCGTGGTGTCGTTTCGTCGCCCGTCTGTTTTTAGATCCACCGTCGAGTAGTCGCGTCGCGCGCGGAGTCAATGGGCGAGCCCGATTCATGGGAGGATATCGCGGGCCAGCAGCAGCCGCCACCGCCAGGCGGCGCGGGCGGATATTACAACGCGCCGCCCGGCGCTGGCGGCGGAGCGCTCAACGTGAACGCGGCGGCGTTCGCGTTTAACCCGACGGCGGGCACGTTCGTGCCTAACTACGGCGGCCAGCCTGCTCCCGGTGGTGCTCCTGGCGCGTACGGTTACAACCAAGGCGGGTACGGTTACAATCCGCAAGCGGCGTACGGTTACAACCAAGGCGGTTACGGTTACAACCAAGGCGGGTACGGCTACAACCAACAGCAGTACGGCGGTGGATATCAGCAACAGCAGTACGGCGGGGGAGGGTATCAGCACCAGCAGCAGCAGTACGGGGGAAGGGGGGGAAGGGGAGGTGGCGGAGGGCGGGGAGGCGGAGGATACGGCGGGGGACGAGGAGGCGGCGGAGGCGCTGCCCAGCAGCAGTACGCGCAACCGGCGCAGCCTCAGCAGCAGCAGCCGTCGGGGCCGGCGGTAACTAAAACCCTCGGCGGTCCCGCGTCTTCCGGCCCGGCCGTCTCGAAAACCCTCGGCGGTCCCGCGTCGTCCGGCCCGGCAGTCTCGAAAACCCTCGGCGGTCCTGCGGTCACCAAGTCCCTTGGTGGACCCTCCGTGCAGAAGGTAATGGTAACCATTTCGCTTAATTTTCTCGAGGATCGCGCCACCCGAATTTCGCGATCTAACGGTTCGCCATGACTTACGGCGTCGTGAACCTTATGGCGTCTCGCAGCTGCATCTGATCAGCTGTGACAACCAATTATCTTCCTTCCCACTCGTATGCGCGTTTCGTTTCACGGATCCGCGCTCACAGCTAGCCCGCCGCTTTCCGCCGCCCCCTGGTTGTGCTTCCGCTCCGCGCGTCTCTCCGCCAGGTTCTCGGGGCTCCTGCACCCGCCGCGGCCCCCGCTCCAGCAGCGGCGGAACCCGCTCCGCCCGCCGCAGCTGCTGCCCCGCCCGCCGCGGAGGAGGAGAAGCCCGCGGAAGCTGAAGCGGAAGGGAAAGTGGAGAGCGAAGCGGAAACCGCTGCGGAAGGCGACGGAGCAGGTAATTGCGAACGAGCGTTTATTGAGCGAGGCGATTTCTGAGGGAGGCGATTACTGAGCGAGGCGATAACTGAGCGAGGCGATAACTGAGCGAGGCGATTACTGAGCGAGGCGATAACTGAGCGAGGCGATAACTGAGCGAGGCGATTACTGAGCGAGGCGATAACTGAGCGAGGCGATTACTGAGCGAGGCGATTACTGAGCGAGGTGAATACTGAACGACGCGTGGATTGGAGATACGTACAAAGCTGGGCTTATCTGGGCTTAACTGGGATCAGCTGGGCCAGTTGGGTGGTGCGGTGTGGGTGTCACTCGGTCACGTCGAGTAACGAGCACTCGCCGTCACTCTTGGCGGCCGCAGCCTCCCACATGCAATTCCCGTCTGATCCGCCAAATTTGCCTGTTCCCCCGCGCGCTCGTCCATTCCCTAGCCTTCCCTTCCACCCTCGCTCTCGCCCTTACTTTTCACACGTTCCGCCCTCTCGCGCGGCTTTCCTCCGCCGCGCCCCACTCCCCGCGCCCCCCTCCCCGCGCCTCCTTCCCCGCGCCCTCCTCCCCGCGCCTCATCTTGCCCTCGCTTCGTGCAGCGGACGCGGCAGCAGCGGCGGTGGCAGCGGTGAGCATCAAGGAGGTCGAAAAGGATGAAACCCCTTCTGCAGACGGATCAGCAGAATCCGCCAAGGTCGAAGCCGCTGCAGCGGCATCAGCGTCCGCGGCGGCGGCGGCGGCGGTAGTGGAGGAGGAGGAGGCGGAGGAGGAGTTTGAGATCCCTGAGTCGGAGGACAAGCGCCAGCACCTCAACCTCGTCTTCATTGGCCACGTTGGTGAGTGCTCGTGTTGTGTGCACTCTTGGCTCGACTCAAACATCAGCAGCAGTGGCGGAAGTGGAGGAGGCGCGGGCGGAGTCGGAGGTGGAGTCGGAGGTGGAGTCGGAGGACAAGCGCCAGCACCTCAACCTCGTCTTTATCGGCCACGTTGGTGTGTGCCCGTGCGCGCTCAGTGCATGCGCGCTCTGTTGGCATGCGCGTGCGCGCTCATCCATGCCCCGTCTCTTTCTGGAAGTTAGACTCCTCTTGCCCCCTCTACTCACACTGTTCGTCCCCGCTCCCCCCACCTGCGCGCCCTCCTTGTGGCAGACGCGGGCAAGTCGACGATCGGAGGGCAGATCCTGTACCTGGCGAACATGGTGGACGAGCGCACCATCCAGAAATACGAGCGCGAGGCCAAAGACAAGAACCGCGAGAGCTGGTGCGCTGCCCGCTGGGGTGATGTGGGGAGAGTGGGCGCCGGTGCGCTGGTGCGCTGGGGTGAGAGGGCGAGTGGGGAGGATGGAATGGATAGGGAGGGAGAGGAGTTGGGAGACCGAGGACAAGTACCGCGAGAGCTGGTGCGCTGGGCGCTGGGAATGGGTGCAAACATGGGGTTGTGGGTTATAGTCTATAGAGGAGGTGAGAGGGGTGAGAGGATTCGAGGAGGATGAAGATAGAGGAAGTTGGATGGTTGGGATTGTTGGGGAGAGTGGGCAGGTGGGCCATGGGGCCGGGTGATGAAAAGGCTCGTTTTCCTCCTCGTTGCGGGCTCTTCATATTATGTGGCGTTCGTGTGTGGTGTGTGTGTGTGTGTGTGTGTGTGTGTGTGTGTGTGTGTGTGTGTGTGTGTGTGCGTTCGTGCATGGTGTGTATGGCGTGTACGTGTGTGTGTGGATGGTGGTGTGCATGTGTGTGGATGTGCGTGCATGGTGAGCATGGCAGGTACATGGCATATATCATGGACACCAACGAGGAGGAGCGAGCCAAGGTGGGTGCTCTGGGTTGCCCTGGGTTGCTGTGGTGTTCTCTGGGTTGCCCTGGGTTGCTATGGTTTTCTCTGGGTTGCGCTGGGTTGCTATGGTTTTCTCTGGGTTGCGCTGGGTTGCTATGGTTTTCTCTGGGTTGCGCTGGGTTGCTATGGTTTTCTCTGGGTTGCGCTGGGTTGCTATGGTTTTCTCTGGGTTGCGCTGGGTTGCTATGGTTTTCTCTGGGTTGCTCTGGGTTGCTATGGTTTTCTCTGGGTTGCGCTGGGTTGCTATGGTTTTCTCTGGGTTTCTCTGGGTTGCTATGGTTTTCTCTGGGTTGCGCTGGGTTGCTATGGTTTTCTCTGGGTTGCTCTGGGTTGCCCTGGGGTGCCCTCGGGTGCTGGAGTGTGCTATGGGAGTGTGGGCAGTCCTCTCAGAATGAGTGGCCCCTTTTCGTCAACCATTGTCTGCTGAACGCTAGTTGTCCTGCTTTTCTTTGCCACAAGGTTTAACGTTAACGTGTATTGCCACCAAGTATCCACTCACACTCTGTTCTTTCTCATGCTCCCACGCTCCCTGTTCACGCCACACGGCAGGGCAAGACAGTGGAGGTCGGTCGGGCGCACTTTGAGACGGAGAAGAAACGATACACCATCCTCGACGCCCCGGTATGGACTTGCAACACAGTTAAAAAACGAATGCCATACCAGTGCTCTTCTCTGCAATCTTTCCTTTTGCAAGTCCACCTTTCTTCAGTCACATCTCTTTTCTGAGTAGACCGTGAGGGTAGGGGTGAGTGCGCCAGGCAAAATCGGATGAGAAGTTATCTCAGGTTATAACCTCCATTCTATCTTTACTAGCATTCACCCTGTCTCCCTCCGCACTTCCATTCCCCCAGGGTCACAAGAACTACGTGCCAAATATGATCAGCGGGGCATCGCAGGCGGACGTGGGCGTGCTGGTGATAGCGGCGCGCAAGGGCAAACACAGCAGCAACTCACTTTGAAAATCCCTCTCGTTTTTTCCCTTCCCTTCCCCTCCTCCCCCAGGGCCACAAGAACTACGTACCCAACATGATCAGCGGAGCATCACAGGCGGACGTGGGCGTGCTGGTGATAGCGGCGCGCAAGGGCGAGTTTGAGACGGGGTTTGAGCGCGGAGGGCAGACGCGCGAGCACGCACAGCTCGCCAAGACGCTCGGCGTGTCCAAGCTCGTGGTGGTGGTCAACAAGATGGACGACCCCTCCGTGCAGTGGAGCCAGGAGCGGTGAGCGGGGGTGGCACGGGAGTAGTGGGAAGGGTGGGGAGAAGGGGAATGACGCAGGGAGGCATGGATGTTGTAGAGTGACGGGTTAAGCTCGTGGTGGTGGTGAGCAAGATGGACGACCCGTCTGTGCAGTGGAGCCCGGAGAGGTGAGAGGGGGGTTGAGAGGGGGAGGAAGGGAGGATGTGATTATACAGGGGCAAGCGGGGGGGGGGGGGGGGGGGGGGGGGGGGGGGGGGGGGGGGGAAGGACGAGTGGAGCTGGTGGTGGTGAACAAGATGGACGGCCTTCTGGCAGTGCAGTGGAGCAAGGGGAGAGAACTACATAGCTGCCCATCTCCCTTCGCTGCCTTTCGTCTCCCTTCCCGCCTGCACTTCCTCTCGTCCAATCCACTCCTCTTTCTCCCCTCTCCCGGCTCCTTCCCCCTGGTCCCTCCTCTTGCTCCACTCCCTTGCTCCGTTTCTCCTGCGCTCATTTCTCGCCCCTGGTCCGCCCTGCACTGCCGTCTCCCCTCATCCCCTGCAATGCTCCCATGGCAGGTATGACGAGATAGTCACCAAGCTCACGCCCTTCCTCAAGCAGTGCGGCTACAACACCAAAAAAGGTACGTGACAGCGCGATTGCAAAACTATTTCTTTTTTTTACCCTTTCTCTGGATATGAAAGGGGGAAGGGGGGGAAGTTCGTGTGTGTGTGCATTGATCCTTGCCCGCTCCACTCTTGTCTCACCTGTGCATCTCACAAGTTTTCTCATTCCCTCCCCCCTCCCTCCTACTCTCCCCTCACGCTCTCCCTTTTTATTCCCCACCATACGTGCCGTACCTAACCATATCGGGCATCCAGGGCGCGAACATGAAGGAGCGTGTGAGCAGGTGCAACCGACACTGCCGCTTCACCTCCTACCTCTCACTTTCTCTCTCCCCCTCCTTTCCAAACATTCTCCCCGTGCATGCAGATGTGCAGTACCTACCGATATCGGGCATCCAGGGCGCCAACATGAAGGAGCGAGTGAAGAAGGATGTGCTCCCGTGGTACGACGGGCCTTTTTAATCACCTCCTCCCTCCCCCCATGCACCAGATTCCTTCTCACATCCTCCCGTATCCCTCTGCTCCCTCCCCCCCGTGCATGCAGATGTGCAGTACCTACCAATATCGGGCATCCAGGGTGCGAACATGAAGGAGCGGGTGAAGAAGGACGTGTGTCCGTGGTACGACGGGCCGTGCTTCTTTGAGGTCCTGGATGCTCTCGCCCCACCCGACCGCGACCCCAAGGGCCCCGTCAGGTGCGGTTTTAGGGGGTCCTCCTCGTCAGGTTTGTGCCGCGTTTGCAATGTATGGAACCGAAGCAGCTCATCACAAGCTAAGACGCCCCTTCCGTGCTTCTTTGAAGTGCTCGACGCCCTCGCCCCGCCCGACCGCGACCCCAAGGGGCCCGTCAGGTGTGTGCCACGTTGCGTGTCAGGTGCGTTACACGTGAGTTGAAGCTGTTCTTTGATAAGCCTTGAAATGCACATTCAGCATCGAGACATGGGCACGGTGGTCATGGGCAAGGTGGAGAGCAGAGCAGCTAGTGAGTCATGTGCTGTGCTTGTGCCCCTTCCTCCCCCTCCCGCCCATCAGAATGCCCATCATAGACAAGTACAGAGACATGGGACAGTGGTCATGGGCAAGGTGGAGAGCGGCTAGTGGGTCATGTACTTATTCCCTCCCTCCCCTTCCACTCCTCTCTTCCGCCCTCCTCTCTTACACATGCTTCGCCCTCCCCCATCAGAATGCCCATCATAGACAAGTACAGAGACATGGGCACGGTGGTCATGGGCAAGGTGGAGAGTGGCTGCATCAAGCGAGGCGACACACTCACCGTCATGCCCAATAAGGTAAGCCATGCCAAATACGGCAAGTCATGCCCCGTGAGGTATATCATTCCGAATACAGCAAGCAAGTCATACTCGTGAGGTAAAGCAGGCCATGCTGAGTAAGTCAGGTCATATCCAGTTTGGACCATATTCCTTATCGTTCTACCCTCCCTTGTATCTTGCTTTCTCTTATTCTTCCCCCTCCTCCATCCCTCTCCCAGGGACGGTGGTGACCATATTCCACGACAATGAGAAGGTGTCATTCGTTCTCCCTGTCTTGCTTATCCGTTATCCCTCCCCTTCGTTCCCCCCTCCTCCCTCCTCACCACAGACCGTGGTGAAGGTGGTGACGATATACCGTGACAACGACGAGGCGTCGTTCGCCCTGCCGGGGGAGACCCTTTGGGTGCGCCTCTCCTGTACCATGCTTGCCACTTATCCCCCTTCTCTTTTTCCCCCCTTTCCCTGCAAACCTCCTTCTTCTCCCGCTCCAGACCGTGGTGAAGGTGGTGACCATATTCCGAGACAACGACGAGGTGGCATTCGCTCTGCCGGGGGAGAACCTCCGCGTGCGCCTCACAGGCATCGAGGAGGAGGAGGTCTCTGCCGGCTTCGTGCTCTCCTCGCGCAGTGAGTCTCTTCTCCCGTCCTCTCCTCCCGCAGTCTGTGCCTGCCTTGCCCTTCCCCTCTCCCCTTCTGTGGTTTGCGTCCGCGCAAAACAACCTCCGGGTGCGCCTCACAGGCATCGAGGAGGAGGAGGACTCTGCTGGCTTCGTGCTCTCCTCCCGCAGTCAGTGTCTTGCCCTTTTCCTCTCCTCTTCTCTCCGTTCGTCATCAGTGCCCTTCCCCTTCCCTCTCCTCTTTCTTTCCCCTCAGTCCAGACTTTTATCTCTTTACCTCTCCTCTCCTCCCTCCTGCACCCCTCAGCCCATTGCCAACCCTAAACCCACTTTTCTCTATAGATTGCGATCACCATTGCGGTGCACTTGTCAAATTGCATCACCTCTCTCCCAACCCGACCAACAGTCCCCTGGCATCTTCTCCCTCCGTGCACCCACCATCCCTTTACTGACATCTGAGAGTTCTCAACGATCTCCACTCATTCTTCCTTCTCCCTGTGCCCATCTCTGCAGAGCGTCCCATTGGAGTGTGCACAGAGTTTGACGCTCAGCTGCAGGTAATCCCCCTCGCCTCCCCTCCTCATAGCTCCAACGCCCCTTAGGATTCTTCCTTCCTTTCACAGGGTCACTTTCTCACCATCTGATGTAACCATTGTTTGTACTCTTTCTTTACTATCCACTTCACTGGACCCCCTCTCTTGGTCCCTTTCTCTTTTCCCCCCTTGTCTCTCCCCTTGTCTTTTTCCAATTTCTTCCCCCCTTTCTCCCTCTTGCCTTTCGTCCTCTCACCCACGCTCGCGTTGCCCGGCAGATCCTGGAGCTGTTGGATCACAAGGCCATCTTCACGGCGGGGTACAAAGCGGTGCTGCATGTGCACAGCGTGGTGGAGGAGTGTGAGATCATCAGCCTGCTGCAGCAGACGGATCCCAAGACCAAGAAGCCCATGAAGAAGAAACCCCTCTTTGTCAAGAGCGGTGCTATCGTGGTCGTGCGCATTCAGGTGCGTAAAGGTTGGGGGGGAAGGATGGAGGGAGGGGCGGGTGGGTATGGGATGGTTCTGATGAGAGGGGCAGCAGACGGATCCCAAGACCAAGAAGCCCATGAAGAAGAAACCGCTCTTTGTCAAGAGCGGCGCCATCGTGGTCGTGCGCATCCAGGTGTGCTTGTGGGGGGGAGAGGGGGGGGGGGGTACGGGGAGGTGAGAGGGTGAGGAAATGGATGGATGGGCAGTGATGGGTAAGGGATGAGAAGGGGGGAGTGAAAGAGGGTTGTTGAGGGATGAAAGAGCTGGTTGGGATTGAGGGAGAGGGAGAGTGAGGGTGAGGGTGAGGGACGAGGGGTGAGGGTTGAGGAGCAAGTTTAAGAGGTTGCTGGCACCTGAGAGGCATACACATGCATGCACACCGACATACGCATACACCTTTTCTCATCTGACTTCTGTCTTGTAGCTCCTGTGCTTCATTCCCCTTCCCTCCCCCAATCTCTGCTTCTCCCCCCATTTCCCTACACCCATTCCCCACCCCGTTCCCCACCCCCGTTCCCCACCCCCGTTCCCCACCCCCCGTTCCCTCACCCTCCCATTCCCCCACCCCCATTCCCATCCGGTCAATTCCGGTACCCACTTATTACCACCTCCCCCCACACTCCCCCCATGTGCAGGTGAGCGACCCCATCTGTGTGGAGAGATTCGCCGACTTCCCGCAGCTCGGCCGCTTCACTCTGCGCGACGAGGGTGAGTCACACCACCACGCCAGCGCTGCACACGGGCCCGCCAATGGCCTCGCACAACCAGCGTGCTGAAATCGCTTTTGAGAATTCTCAAAAGCGATTTCGCCGAGGGTGAGTCACACCACACCACCAGCACTGCACACGGCCCCGCCAATGGCGGGGCTATGTTGCACAACCAGCATTGTTGCTTGCCTTTCCTGCGCACGCTATGTTGTATATGTTGCCATGCATGCGAGCTGCCTATTCCCCCACTGCTCTCCCATATCCGCCCCTCACCCCTCTCATGCCCTTCCCTACCTCGCTTTCTCCATGTTCCCCGCGCCTCTCTCTCCCTCCCCAACCCATCTCCCCCCCCCCCATTGCCCAACGCCTGGCAATACAGTGGCAATGGCCAAGGTCACTCGCCCGCGCTACAGCTCAGCCTGACGTTTTCCTCCTCACCTCTCCCCACCGCCCTGCCTGCCCCTCTCCCCAACCCCCCTCCCTCTCCCCATCCCCCCCTCCCTCTCCCCATCCCCCTCTCCCTCTCCCCATCCGCCTCCCCACAACACTGCCCCCCCGCCAGGCAAGACAGTGGCAATAGGCAAGGTCACTCACCTGCGCTCTAGCTCTGCCTGATGTTTCTCCTCCCCACCTCTCCCCACCTCTCCCCACCTCTTGCATCACCCCTCCCCCCACCACTCCCCCCCCCGCCAGGCAAGACAGTGGCAATAGGCAAGGTCACTCATCTGCGCTACAGCAGCTCTGCCTGACGTTTCTCCTTCCCACCTCTCCCCACCTCTCCCCACCTCTTGCATCACCCCTCCCCCCACCACTCCCCCCCCCGCCAGGCAAGACAGTGGCAATAGGCAAGGTCACTCACCTGCGCTACAGAAGCTCTGCCTGACGCTGTTCCTCCTCACCTCTCCCCGCCTCTCTCCCCCTCTCCTCACCCCCCTCCCCCTCCCTCATGCCACTCCCCCCCCCGCCAGGCAAGACAGTGGCGATAGGCAAGGTCACTCATCTGCGTTCCAGCAGCTCTGCCTGACGTTTCCGCCCCTCCTCTCCCTCCACCTCCGCTGCCCTCCCCCGCCCCCCTCGTAAGTCCCAACATTCTCCCATTCCTTTTTTTGAAAATATATACAATACGAGGAATGTTTTTCTGTGTTCCCTGTCCATGTCTCCCATTCACTGCTCGTTACACCTTTTCTTCCACCATGCTAGCTTCCTTGCAGGGTGTTGTGTCCTTGCCTACTGGTGTACGATACTAGGTCAAAGAGGTCAAAGATACTATACTACGGGTCTGGCCATTCCTGCATGTGCCCATGCTCCTCGTGTCTCTCGCATTTCCTCATGCCTCCATCGCTTGCAGGCAACAAGTGATCCATGGGAAAGTCAATGCCTGTTTTGCGTGAATGGATTTCTTGTCATTCGCTTGGCAACACAAGGCCCACTGCGTCCCCTTGCCTGCCCCCTGCCTCCTGCCTCCTGCCTCCTGCCTCCTTCCTCCTGCCTCCTGCCTCCTGCTCCCCACCCATGTCCTGCCAGTACCAGCAAATCCATAGTAGCTACACCGGTGCCCATGCACTCATCGTTCCAAAACACTGTTTAGGATTACCTTGCACATATGGTACTGCTGAAACACGAAGGAGCAGCAATTTTTCTGGGTGTGCCATGCAGAATATATCGGGTGATGCTGTTGCTCCTTTCCGCACAATTCCCCAGACTTGTCTCTGGTCTTTCAACTCTGCTCGAATTTTACGAAGCTGCATGTGTCCAGAATTTTGATCTGGTCCTAATCATGAGTTTTGTAAGCCCACCTCTGATTGTCACACAAAATGCTTTCAGGTACCTACGGTATTACCTTAGCTTTTTCTATGCCCACACACACACACACACTGTGGGACTAGATAGGTAGGTGGTCAACCCACTCTCAGCTGACACCTGAGTCACTTTGCTTCCCTTCAATGCAACAATTAGAATTGCCTGCTTCTCTGGTTTTGTGAACAACAGGCGTTGAAACCAGCACTGAACAGCAATACAGCGCGTACAGTGAAAAATATCCAGTTTGCCAGAATTCACGAATACAGTACCACACCTACTTGGCCAGGCTTTCGGTGCGTCCACGTGCCACCTCGAGCCCATCATTCCACCGCAACGCGCTGTTTCCGCGTTCCCCTTCCCCTTCCGCTACAATTCCCCCTGCCCTTCCAGCACCACCTGTCCCTCTATTCCCCCCGTTTTCCACGTGTTCCTCCCCGCCCCCCGCTCCCCCCCCCACTCCCTTTCTTCCCCTTCTCCTCTTTCCCCGTCCTCCTCTCGCCCACCGCCATCCGTTTCATCCCACCTGCAGCCATGGTCACCTCGCTTGCAGATACGATTATTTTGCTGTGCAGCCAGCTGATACTGGCACTATTAGTGTAAATTCCATTTATGGCTGGCTGTCTGGTCCTACGAATCTCTGAATTATCGTCTTTCGACTGGAGCCACATAATGTCGTCGGTGGAATCATTCGCTGGCGCGCTTATTACGCTCTCTGCCGTAGGCTGTGATGTGACCTGACAGACGAATCTACGAGACGAATATCGTCTACGTCAAGCTAACGGCCGACAGCGGCTCGGCGTCGCACGTGCTGGCATTATGCAATGTTGAGCCAACATCATCACAATACAAACACGGTCTACAACTTTCGAGGTGCCTCAAAAGTTCTGCAATGGTGACCCGACATCACAATACAAACATGGTGTACAACTCGCCAACGTGAGTGACGCTTCACCGATGCTCTGCCGCATTTCAGGAATTCAGGGACTGAGGCGAGCGCACGCGTGTCGATCTCAACTACCCAACGCCCTTGAGCGGATCTCGTTTTCAGTACTGTAAACGAATCTTCACGTCATTCCCTTCCGTCGCTCGCTGTCGGAGACGTTGGATTAGCTCAGCTCGTCTGAGGCCGGAAGGGCGATGCGCCTCGACGCATCCCTCACATCCCCGCTTGTCCGATGCCATTAGGGGCTTTGCCTGACGGGGAAGCGCTTTATGTGAACCTCGCCCGGCCATGCCATGTGTTGATCTACCGAGCAATTCTGACTCGGAGATTCGTGCCTCGTCGTCCTACAGCTTGGAAACTCGGTTTCTAGAATCCGTGCCTTGAGCGCTACTCTCTGAATTCCGTGCTTCCAGTGCAATGGACGCCACTGCTGTTTGCCCCATCCCCGCTATGGATTGGCGCGCTGTTCGTCAAGAGGAGATCACCCACTTGGCGCAGCAGGGCATGGTTGCGCCTGATGTTTCCGCCGACCACCACATCCGCAACGAGAACGAGATGCGGCGCCGCCGCCGCCGTCACCTCCGCCGCATGGCGCGGGAAGCGAACGCGGAGCTGGCGCGCTCTGTGGCGGAGTGGCGCACGCAGAGCTTCCGCCACCCCGACTCGCAGGCCGTGGTGGTGCTGGCGGCGGAGACTGAGCGCAGCCGCGACTGGTCGGCGGAAGATCACAGGCGCAGCTTCAGCTGCGGCGACCTGGGCGAGTATGGGCCGCCAGACGCCAGCCATGGTGGCTGCAGCGGCCGGATTGTCCCGAACGGCCGCGAAAACAGCTCAGGAGAGACGGGAGTGAACAGAGATGGCGCTCCGGCGCAGAGGAGCGAACAGGCGTCATGTTCCCCTTCAGATGCCTCAGGTGTCCCGCCAGGTGCCTCAGCAGGTGCTCCTGCGCGCGCCTCCTCGTCTGGTGCCTCGTGCAGGCCTGGGCATCGGCGTGGGATGAGCGTGAATGCGCTTCCCGAGCTCTGCCCCTACCCGCCTGTGGACTGGCGCTGGGTACCATCTCCTGATCCTGCTGCCGCCTCACACTGCCCTGCTGCTGCCGCTCGCTACCCTGCTGCCGCTGGTAGCTTCTGCACAGCGCCTCCCAGCGGCGCCACGTCGCCGGCACTCTCTCCCCTCTCGCCTTCCTCTCTCGTTTCGTCCCCCTCACAGCTGCTCTCGAGATATTTTATCTCGTCCCCAGACAGCACTCACACACACCGGGTGCGGGGATCTAACCGGAAAACTCCTCTTGGCAAATTCAGTGACACGTCGGCAGCCGTCTACCGCTCTTTTACAGCCGACAGCGCAGCTGGCTGTGTGCTTAATAACTGTGCCAATGGCACCTGCAGTAGTGCGACGGCCATGAAAACAGTGACTGATATTTATCAGAGCGCTCTCACCGCGGCTACGGCTACAGCAGCAGCAGCATCAGCAGGGAAAGAAGGGTCTGTTCAAACATTAACCAGAGGCATCGACACGACTGGGGAAGCTAGGAGGGGAGCTGGAGGGCAGGAGACAGGTATTGAGAAGAAGAAACGGAGCGGGGCGTTGAATGGCGCAAAGGCTTGCTGGTTACCGCCCGTCCCCGCCGCACTCCACAAATGTTTTTCTAAGCAATGAGGCACATTAGATTGGCTTTTGTGTGTAGTAATATTTATGCATTTGCATATTTCAGGTCAGTAATGCGCGGAAATGATAACAACCATCTTGATCAATGCAAATTACCAATTGAACAAACTCTATTACTAATTAGATTAGGCAGGTGTCTCAACGATAAAATACCAACTGATAAAGGTAATAGTCTCAGACAAAATAGCCTGTGGTGTACCTGGAGGCACCGATCTGAACTGAATTCGCAGCAATGCTCATCCCCTTGAGTCGAGCACGCAGCGCGACCCTGATCTGAATTCCAGCAGCACTGCTCTGCGCTGCTCTCACTGACACCCGCACCTCCCTCCCGCCAGATCTACCACCAGCAAGCCATAGCCATTTCTTCTCATCCTAATTTCGCCTCTAATATACGCTGCGCTTCGGCCCGCCGCGAAAATTACCCCTTCGAGCCACCTCCTTTCGCGCTCTTTCAACCCACACGACAGCTTAGTGACCCCCCAAGGAAAATCTGATCTTAGTTGGCAGCGTTTGGGGTCGATAGGCAACCCACGTCACTCACTTCGGCCCCCTGGGTTGATTTCGACCAGCCATGTGGCATAGGCGCTGCTGATTCGGACGATCCCATTCGATTTTTCACATTTTCGCGCTCGAATTTTTTCGTCGCAACGGCTTT